TGTGTGTGTGTGTGTGTGTGGTGTGTGTGTGTGTGTGTGTGTGTGTGTGTGTGTGTGTGTGTGTGTATATGATATCGCAGTGGACTTTCGTTGTTACACGTTGTTGCGTTGAACACACACACACACACGCATATAACACAAACATTCATTCCAAACGTTTGACCAATAGCCACTTCAACAAAACACAGCATACAGATATCCTCGGCACAAACCAGCTCCAAACATCCATCCTGTTGACATCTGGAGACGTTGCTGAATACAAATCGCGAAATCATTTGAACAATAAACCCCAGACCTGCACCGAACGCCATGGAGTCCTTCAGGAAAAATTTCAAGCCGGTCCTATGGCACCGTCTGGTGGTGCCCCCCCCCCCCCCCTCTCTCTCTCTGCCATCGCCCTCGACCCGGTGACAGAGGGGCGCCAGGCAGGGCAACACAGCACTGGGTGCCCATAGTTTTGACTAGCAAGCATCGACCCACAATGACTGGGTGCCCCAAAGTTTTGACCACTAGGCATCGACCCACACTGTAAGTATACCAGAATCGGGATTAACACCATAATTAGGATGTTGCATCAAAAGTTGGCAGTGCCGTGCTAGCAGCATATTTGGTTTGTCCATGGCGATAAGAGTAACCGCGGTTATCAGTGGCAAAACGCTTCAATTACGGTGCAGTAGTGGGACAAGTGGTTGAGGGATCAGAATGTTTTAAAGTAATTTCAGATGCCTCTTGGTTGATCTGATGTATCTTGGTTTTTGTGAGATCACATTACGCCTCGGTTTACTCATCATGACTCATTTTAAGCATTCTGGGTTATAACTGATCACGTAATGACTTAGTTGCTGCACAGCGAGTCAGTTACAACATTGTGGCATGGGCTACCCGCTGCTGAATGCTGCATGAGAAATAATTGGTCCGAACTTGCTGTCTTCTTGACATCTGAACAATCAACTATGCCATGACGGCGGTTATCCTTGCACCATTATCTACAGAGGTGTTAGCCCCGGAAAATGAAAGGGGTTATTCAGGCCTCATTTCTATGCACTTTTTATGCAACATATGCGCAAGACTAAGAACTCCGTAGGCCAAAAAAAGTACATTTTGACATGAGGACTCTATGCCTAGTCGTGAAAAAGGTGCGCTGTTGCTGCCATATGTTATGCTAGACTTTGGAGCCCCCCCCCCCCCCCCTCCCGGCACCAGGTCGGGTGGGGGCGGGAGAAAAATGTGTCGATGTGTGATGTGAGATGTGTCCGGCTGTGGTAACCCGCGCTGCCTCCGGCTCGAACGCCCAGCGCGGACGCCCGGGGTTGGTGGCAGGGTGCCCGCCGCCACAGGCCGCGCATCGAACAAAGTCCGGCTTGCAGCCGACGTGCCCCCCCCCCCCCCCCCCCCCCCCCAACGCGGTGCGGGGTTCGGGCGGTTAGCCCGTTCCCTATGCCCGTTGCGGAGACAGCGTCGGTAGCAGGGGGCGGCGTCGGGGAAAAGCGACTGGGAATGAGTGCTTCGTAGCGAAGACCTGGTGCGTATCTGGCTTCGTGTGCGATGCCAAGCGTACGGCGGAGTCCAAACTTCGCTGGCCGTCTGAGGAGGGTGATGGCTTTGACGGGGCTCTCTTCTTTGTCTGTGTGTGGGTGGTGGTACTGATGAGGATGGTCTCGGCTAGCGGTGCGATTTTCAGGCTGTGTGTGTTGGTGAGCTCTGTGAGCCCGGCTTCCACCTTGAACCGGCATTCGCGGCGGATGCCGGGCCCATCGGTGAAAGAGCTTACTAAATGGCCCCCGTAGGTGCTATTGGTGGCGTTTGTGTAATAGATGTCTATGTTGCTTTGTTAATGGTGTTCTCATACTGTGATGTGTTGTGCTGGGTGTTTATGTTGCGTGGTGAATGGGAGACGGTAACTAGGGACCACCATCGACCTGATTTAACCTCGTAGAGTTATAAAAAAGGGAAAGCAGAGTGTAGTGAGCCTGGGATGGGGCGGTAGGTTCTGGCTTTAACCGCAATCAGTCGGCGTGGGTGCCGCCCACCGGGGAGGCACGGGCGCACGCCGACGGTTGGGGAAAGGGTCGTCACGCGTCGAAAACGACTGGAGGGACCCGTCACCCACCGATAGCTCCGGGCCGGCTTTTCAATAGTCGGTCCGCGCTGTGGTAAGTTAGTGTGCGTGGGCCAGAAACGCTCTTCTTCTCTTTGCTCCGTTTCGTCCGCCAGCATTTCCTCCAGCGGCTTCGCTGGAGCAAGTGATCATAAATTTCCGACGGTGGCCTAATATCGCTCATTACCTTCTAACCACGAGTTCAAACATACGTGAATTAGCATCATATGTTTGAACATCTTTCATTCGCCAGCATTTCTAACGGCGTGTGCGGGAACGTCATCGTATGTGGAACATGATCCCATCGATACATGCGTGTGGTAGCTGGTATGATGAGTAGTACTGTTGGCGTTTCCATGAGAATGGTAAGCATAAAACTCCTCCACGAAATAGCTCCTATACAAACTACGTTAGGTGACGAGCCATTGTTTTGAGAAGAAAAAACTTTCTTACTACATATACATTATTGATGGCTTTCATTTCAGCAACTATGATGAAATATACAAGCCCTTCATCAATATTCTTAGGCTTGGGCACGCCAACAACAACGAACACGTTTGAGCACAACCTCAACCAAACTCTTGTTTATGGAACCTTACTTTGAATTTACCTTTATTCGGGCCTGACGTGCATTAGTTCCATAGGCCTCAAGTTCATAGTTTTGCTTTTCTTTGTGGACATAAGCTACAGACGGAATGAAAATCAGCGATATGTGTGGATCGACGGCCTTAATGCACAACCTTGCCTACACCGAAATTTTTCCTAAAGCTCTCTCCAAAAATGTTTCACCTACCCGCACGATGACAAAACAAATATTAAAAATACAATGAAAGTAAAGGATAATGGAAGAAGTAACAGTAACTTGTTGTTGCTTATGGGACGTTCCATGACAAAATGACAAGTGTCTTACGCCCTCATCGCTCGGATGTTTGTTAAGTTGAGTCATAGGGGTCGTCATCAACGCCGAAGTCGCTGGTGACATTTTGAAACCTCTCAGTTACACCGTTTCAAAGTTATGACCCTCGGTAATTTTGAGTTGCATGGTTTCAGAGCTACATAAACAGAAAATTTTGCAAACCTATATGTTAAAATGATCAGACAACTGTGTGGAATATTTGTATACCCCTGTTGAACTCGTCACTGCGTGATAAATAGCAATCAGGGCATTTTGAACTTTTGCAAGGTACGAGGAAAAAATCCCTATGTAGTATTGCCATGTTTCTCATTTGCACCCAAAATAGCGTAGTTTATTCATAAAGATTTAATAATTTAAAATGTGTTTAACCGCTTGGAACGAAATGGTCCACGCACCGACGAATCATGTTGAGCGCACGAAGACCTGGCATGCAACGTCCCGCCGCAGCCGGCTGCCCCCCCCCCCCCCCCTTTATGTGTACTGTCACGGCCAGGATAACTGGAGCGGAAGGGGGGAGGGGAGGTGAGTGCTCACCGTGAAAGTGGTTTGGTCTCTTATGTATGTGGGGTGACTCAGTGAGACTCAGTCAGACAAAGGTCCAATGATGGGGCCTTGTGCCAGCGCCTTTTGTGCGAATGGAGCGCGTGTTTGTATTGACAGCGTCTTGCAACAATGAAACGATCAAACGACCCTGTTCATCGAAAAAAGATCAAACGATCCTGTTCAAAAAAAGGATCAAACGACCCTGTTGTGCCGATCCGTTTGGGAAGCACAATACGAGTGCGCGGCGAGGTTTAAAGAGAGTATGACACCTTTTTGTACTCACTTATTCAGAACAGATATGTCCGATTTCATTTGTAATGCGAGGTTTCTTGAAATCCTGAATAGCCTAGAATATCTATTGGAAGTAACCTCTGCCGCGGTCCAAATCCCATTCGACTCCCTGCTCACCGTCATGAAAGCCGCACATTTCATTAACCTCGCTTTTTCCAACGGCTGTATTCTGTAATGTTTACAATACACTAATTTGTCAAAATGTTGGGTTTTGTTTCCTTTTTTCTTTTCTTCGGTTTCCTTTCTTTCTTAATGCAAAAACCGCCGCCGAATGTGGCCCTTCAACCACACGACACGAATGTGCCGGAGGCTGTAACTTCAAAACCAACTCAGAGATCTGAAAATGTCACAGGCGTCTTCAGCGCTGCTGACAGCGCCTGACAGCCCTTTTGATCCAAACCGGGAGGTGAGGGTGTCAAAGTGACTCTTCGACGTGTCCATCTGTCGTGGAATGCCCCGAATAACGCTGCTTAACCAACCCGCGCGTGTTCGGGGGTCTGAGGCAACCGCGCCCGTCCAGGGGGAGTTAACTTCCGAGCTGGGATATCCAACTTCCAGATGCCTTATGAGAAAAGCAAAGATATGGTTTTGAAGGTCTCGCTAAAGCATCGAAATGTTCCCCAAATGTTTAATCTTAGGCCAAATGTGAAATAACCAGCGGCCACGAAAGGTCAACAAGGTTCTTCTGATAGTTAGTTAAACCTATGTTAACACATGATGACGGTTATTGAGAGCACGGAAGTAAGCGCAAAGGCTGTGAGGAGTTCATTTCGACCAATTTTGTTCCCCACATGGGCCGGGTTAGATTAGGCCACCGTTCAAAATTGGTTCACCAGGAGCCTGCACGAACGACACCGTTATTCGCAATGTGCTTCCGACAAAGTTCGTTTTGTTAGGTGGAGAGCAAAGTATCGCAGACACGAAAATGGCATTTTCTGGTGGCCTAGAAACCACGTGAGGTCAGGTTAGGTTAAAGTTATAAACCATCCAACGGGAAAGCTGAAGTGCTTACTGGGTTCATGTGGCCAGTACAACACATTTTCGTGGTCAGAAATACCGTTTAGGATATCTACAGATACTCAAGATTGCATATCGCTGTTGAGATTGCAGATTGCTGTTGTCTTCATTATACACAGTCCCTTTGACGCTTGCCAATGTATTTGCAACAAAATGAGCACAGGGACGTTAGTACCTGAAATTAGGCGTCAACGGTTTCACAAATAAGATACGGGGGTGGTTACATGTGTCGCACTCGTTCATCTATCCTTTCCGCTTCTGGCAACATAGATCATTGACCTTGGATGACCTCATATGATCTTGCATGACTTATTGTGACCGCAAAATGTATTATTATTTCGTTTCAACATGTTTGCAGTGGAATATTCTAATTCTGCGGCCAAAATTCCTAAAAACTGCTTATTTTGAGCTCAGCATGTGTTTTGCAGGAAGGCACCCATAGAGGTAGTTCATGGGCTGGGCTAAGGTTATGTGCTCAGTGGTCATATGATGGCTGCGTATGTAATTTAGTATTCTTTTCTTCGCGTACAATACCAAAGCTACACAACAAAGCGTACAAGCTTGCGTTATTTATGAAAAATAGCGAGCCTTGCCAGACAGCAAGGTCAGACAATGACTTCAGGTCAATGACCTCACCTTTTACGAAAGATCTGAAAGACGCTAGCTGTAGGTAGTATCATGTTCTATTACTATACCAAGTGGGAACGAAGGCAAACGACCCATAACAATGTTATGTGTGGTCAATTTTTTAAAGGTTGACTTCTTTCACCTCACCTAGGTTACTGATCGTGATAGATTAAAGCTTCCAATTTGCGTGATGGGTGCCAAATGGGTAGATAAACAAGCACTGAAAACTTCGTGACGCTGCAAGCATTGATTGTTGACCTGTGCTCGACAAACCTTGGAGACGTGTCAACTTCCTCCCGATCAGGCGCGGGCTAAAGGCAACAACAGACTTAAAGAAATAGTGACACCCGCGCCAACTGTGTCAGATGTTTAATGATTTGTAATGAGATGTCCGACACCGTGCTAGACCAAGCGTCACTACACAAGGCCACTGAGATGGCTGCGGGTGAGATAGGTCAAACAGCGGCATGCAGCCCCCGCCCACCGTCGTGCAAAAAAGCCTAATTTACTTCTGCCGAAATGCTTATGAAAACTCTAATTACTTCAGCCGAAATTAAAACAGATGGCATTTGGTATTAAAGGCATCAAACAAACAACACAAATTGCCACACCCCATTCAGTGCATCGCAGCGGTATGTCGTCGGCCGCATTCGGTTCACCGGTTTGTTCGTTCTTGCCCACCTCCTGCCTAGGGATCGCTTCGCGCGCAGCAGCGCAGCTCCTCCACCTCGCCGGGAGCGTTCCGCTTGATCTTGGCGCCCACCATGACGTGGTCTGGTCTGCTGCAGGGCCCACTGACGCCGGGCACGAGTGCGGTTCCCGGGACCTCGTTGCGACAGGTGCCTAGGCTCCATCCAACGTCCACGCAGAGAAGTGCGTCCACGTGAAACGTGTTCTCCCGGGATGAGTAGATAGCCGTTATCACCTCCGACGGCGGGTTCGAAGGACACTGGTGCATCTGCAGGCGGGATGGCAGACTGCTTTAGGCGCAGCGACATATTGACCAGTGCACGTATCGTGGTCATATGATGGCGTGAGATAGCTGCTGGGCACCACGCCAGCGGAGATGTGCTCGTTGGCTCATTGGCTTGGCAGCATGCTATGCTGCGCTTGGCTGCATGTGATCCTTTTGGTTCAGTTTTGGCTGTGCTTGTCTGTACGTGATCCCATTGCTTCAGCTTTTACTGTGCTTAGCTGGACGTCATCCCATTGGTTCAGTTCACATGACTTCACGACGGTGCGATGAACGGTAACGCGTGGTATTCACAAAGCAGTCAGATGTGCTTCGAAGGAATGACAGGACTCGAGGTGGTTGGAGAACGGCGGCATACAAGCCACAAGGCACCCACGCAGCTGCCCCAAACAGCCAGCCAAGTGGCTTGCGAATGGTTGGAGCCAGTACCACCGGCTTTTCATTCCTACCCAGTTGTACCCATACGCTATCACACCCTTGCGCTTTTTAGCATTTAAGAACTCCGTCACGAAAAAGTTTCAGAGAATTTGCATCCAAGCGTACTCCTCTTCCTTAAGAATTGCAAAGGTAGCCTAGCTAAAGCCAATTTTGACTAAAAGCAGCGCAAGTAATGGCATTGGGTACTATTTCATTGAGTATGTACCCGACAACTTGCAAATGTCTTACCCGTAATCGTGTGCATGCTATTAGTTTTCCTGAAACCTGTACTGAGCTCAACTCCTTACCCATTCACTTCTGGTACGCATGACCCGACCCGCGAAGTACTCTACTCACTGCGGCGTAAGATCCAAGACATACGAGCCACAAGCCACTGGCGATATACGGGCATGCTCCGCGGCCCCAGCGACAGCAGGCTTAGCCCATCGCATTCGACTCTGGCCACGCTGGTCGAAGGAGTCATGGCATCACTGATCCGATACTGAATCACCGCTTACAGAGCAAACAACAGCTATCAACTAGGCCGACTGTTGGGCGTTTTAAAAGTTTTTAGCCAGATATACTTTTGTGCGAGGGAAATATGACCATGCCAGCGATGTTCTATGGGAGCTTAGGTGGATTTTAGCAAAGAAGGTGCACCTGTGCCGCGGCCTCAGGCTTCTCAAAAGACGCTTCACGACATCCGAACCAGCGTCAGTCACTCATACCCTCGCTACCAGATATGACATTCGCCATCGTACCGGCAGACATTGTGATCGGCTCGTGACTCCTCCGATACGCTTCTTTTCTAGGGGGCGGAGGTTTAATTGCTCGATCGTGGCTGCATTTAATGACATACCGGCAACAATCCGGGCGACGGGGCCATCGTGTTGTAAGATCGAGGTTTGAAAGCACATGATGCGAAGACTGCATGCTCCCGATTTGGTGACTGGCAGCTATGCACAACTTATAGGCATAATATCAAGGATTTAACACGTCATATGGCTTCTCAAGGCCATCATGATTGTGGTTACGAAGACGGCCCACTAGCTACAGCCGGAAAGCTTGCACCCTTTTAGGTGATTCAAACTTCCAGGGGGCCCTAAAACAGTTCATGGTTCCGACGGTGTCACGGTGTCTCGAGAAAATAGAGGAACGCAATATTCGAGAAGTCCCCATTTGGTGCAAGAGGCCCTCCACTGACATTTCAGATCACGGCCAAACGGACGGGGTCCTTAATTCGACCTACCCTTTGGGCCGTTCAGCCTCCCAATAGGGTCCTTGATCTTTGGTCTCGAGAGACCCCGTGGGTTCCCTTCGGGTCCCCCTGATACAAGGCTCCAGGCAACACGGGCCACTGGCCGACACCGGACCCCCTGTTTATGCCCTGTGGGCCGCTGGCCGACAACCTCATTGTTTCAGGGACACCGACCTATGCAAAATCGTGGGTCCGGCGTCGCTCGTGCTTGGAAAATGGACCTTCAGGACTCCGACCGACATGAGCTGACGTTCCGGTGTTGGTGGCCTCCGCCCGAAATAGAGGCCCGCTCTGTTTCCGAGGTACCCAATCGATGCGAGAGGCTCTCCAACTGATATTTGATATCACGGTCCTACGGGCTGGGGAAGGGGGGAGGGGGCCTACTTAATACGACCCACGGGCAGTGCTTCGGTCCTTCAGCCTTCCCATTGAACCCTTGAAATCGTCCTGAGGGGCCTTTCGGTCCGCCTTCGGGCACCCTCAAAAACTGCCTTGAGAGGCCCTTCGGCGCGTCTTCGGGCCCCTGAAAAACGGTTTCTGGTGACTCGGGTCTTCTTGCCGACGCAGACAGCTAAGGTGAATCAACGTGGCGGCGTGCAGATAGCCAACTGCGGCCCAGGAGAAGTGAAGCATGATAGGATAATTACCTGCAACTTTTAACGCCTTCTCTTCAGCTCCAAGAGAAATTGCATGACTTGTGAGTTCGACGACACGAATGAAAAGAGCAAGCCCATAGCATGCCATAAATGCCAACAGCGCGGCCATGGACAGAGTGCATCGAAGACAGCATAATGACAATATAGTCAACATCTAAGCACTTGGCGCAAAATGCTGACGAGACCCGCTCCCTAACACATCTCCATCTAATGCTGTCTTCACTGCTGAGAGGGAGAGTCCTCGCACACTGCCACAACATGCATTTGGGCACGCGCACAGTGACAGTCATCTTGATAAACTAAACGAAACAGTGCTACGCAGTGCAACATTAAACTTCTCAAGGTAGGATGGGTTCAATGGCTCCCTGAATCGGAAAAAGGGTGTCGCAGCCTCATAAGCGCAGTTGAGATGGACTGCAGCATCCTGAACGAAAAATGACAGCCTTGTCTGTAGTTACCAGTCCATTTTGGCCTGAATCGTTCCATCTTTCAGGCTGGCCCGAATCGTTCCGGGAATAGTCATTCAGTGACAATTGCTATGAAACGACTGTGAAATCACGCAAACGTGCAATAAAACAGTCATTTGGTGAAATTCGTGCCGATTCCCCCCCCCCCTAAAAGCTGGCCGTTACTCGAGTACTCACCTCACTTGCACCAATGCGTGGATGGCGTGACCTTATGACCCTGTGCCCCCTCCCCAATGACTTCGGAAATCATTACGACAGCGCGTAGGTGCCACGGCGACCCAACCTAGCTACCAAGTGCGGCCGACCATGTCAGCCGGCGTGCCCGCCTTGTTCTGAGGCGCGCGGCACCGGCCTCCCAGTCAGCCTGCTTGCAAGCCTCTATTTGACGGTGTCAGACCGTGTCAGATCTGGCCGTGTCAGGCGCACGCGGAGCGCTGAACAGATCGCCCATTCACACGCTACCAATTCATGCTACGTGAACACGCATGCACGTCGTGTGGCGCCGACACAAAGCGACGCACCGGCATGAGTCGTTTCGAGCTGGCTTCTAGGCAGCTACTCGTTTTAGGCCGTGCGATCTATCAACTGCACTGTGAATGCCGCACGCACACTTACCGATAGCACAAAAAGAAAACACTAGAACCGAACCCAGAGGTGGTGATAGAGCGTGGCGTGTTCATAAGCATGAGGCAGCGGCCATCAGGCTCCAGTGTTGCATCCGTGTTCTGTTGCTCGATAACTTGGAAAAATACCAAAGAAACGATGAAAGATTACTTTACGCACAATCATTGACAGCGAGACAATGGGCCGACGGTCAAAACTGGAGAGGTGTATAAACACCGTCACTTGTAGCTAAGGAGGCGCTTTTCCTCTAGGAGCCTATTTGGAGCATATGGTGAAAAACCCATGAAACTACTGGAATGGTTAACAAACAAAAAAAAAAATAGAACGAAGTACAACTCTTAAGAAATGTACTAGAGCAAGCTCCAAGATGATCAGGCATGTAAATACGGGCAACCATGTGTCGACGGGTTCTGAGCTCGAAAACGGGCGGAAGGCCCAAAGATTGTAAATAAAGAGACAAAGTCTCAATTGCCCCATATGTTTACCGATAGGGCGAAGAAAGGGGGCAAATCGTGTTGCTCATTTCCTAAAATGCTCAGAGCAATAAAGCTTGAATTCCTGAACAATTCAATTCCTGAACCTGAGCCTCCAAAAAAGTCAAGGGCCATCTGTGGCGCTCATGCATGAACCGAAAACATCGTAAAATGGAGCAGTGCAGTGGGCAGAACAGAACAGTGCACATCGCATGTTCCAGCTGCGGACCTACGACTAATGCTCACGTATCACGAACTCGTAAAACATGGAGCAAAACATGAAATACTTCGTGTGTTAGCCCGCGCTACGCAATTATTTTGTCTTCAAGCGTCCGCGGGCGTGTGGCACCAGTGTCTCATTGCAGTGGCGGTGAGCCGCTCGCGGGTCGGCGCTATTTCGAACAATGGGACTGCCAGGTGTCCGGCACAGGAGCGGCCGGGTGTGCGGCACAGGGGTCCCTGTGTCCGCCAAGAGCGGCCGTGCGGCAGAATATCAAGAACAAAAAGGCATTAAAGACTGGAGTGAAACCACATCAAACAGTTGATCACTTTCATTGACGACGATAAAAAACATACACTTGGTTAATTGAAACTACTAGGTTTGAAGCATTTTTGCCCTCTTTTTTGCGACAGAATAAAACACAGTACAAATTTTTTCACAATGAAAGAGGACTGTCAAAGAAATACGTGCTGGGTGACCCTAGAGATGCAGGAACGGGATGGGGGGGGGATGGGGTGGCTGATTTTACATTAAGCCAGTGTTCGTCTCTCCCCTTACCAAAAGCCCGTGGCGACACCGTAGGAGGTAATACGCATCTCAAACGTATTGCAGTTCAAAAGGGAACAGGAGTAAGAAGGAGGCCTCTCGGACTCTATCGATGCGCGTGTGGCTGTATTGTCTGCCAATGCGAAGGGCTTAGTGCGAGTGCACAGTACAAAGCCTCACTTGTCCATCGCTGTTAAGGTTCTTCAGTTGCTTTCTCCCGTTAAGAACAACTTGCTCTCCGGTGTTGGGATCGAGAAGACGCTTGCAGTACATCTGAGAAGGGTTGTTGAAGACAGGCCCAGCTGGCATGAAGAGACCGACGACCACAAACCCTGAAAATGAACGGCGATTGATGTTCCACATTGTCCTGGACAACCAAAAACCGCTACGCACAGCTGCAGAAAACTTAGGGGAAGTCAGCAGGCCTAACAGGACAAGGCAACAGAAACGTGCCCTGGATTCAACAAAAACCATTGCATTCGGCCCGCCCGAATGATTGCAACATGTAGCTGTGCTAGTCTGATCGCATGCACGTGAGATAACACGAACAGATGCATAACATAAGACATGCTTACTGAGAGTATGACTGTAGTAAGCGAGTTGGCCATCCGTAAGATTAGATTGGACAACCAGCCTCGTTTGCTGACTTCCTGTTGGTGTATGTTCTGATAATATGCGACGAAACATTAGTCTTGAACGTCAAGGAAGGCTTGGCTCAGATATATTTGCCCCTGTGTGCACTTATTGTATCCCTGTATTGTTGTGTATTTCTGCTGTACCATAATATACATAATACATCTGGTGTATAACTCTGCACCCTCATTTTTCACTTCTGCTTTTTTCAAGTTCCATAGGCATTCAGGTTCTGCGGAGCCTCGTTTATGCTTGGTGGTTTCAAGTGAGCTCGGTTTTGGATGACATCTGAAAACCTCAGAAAGGGAAATAGGGGCTTGGCATGTGCGATTAGACAATATCAGGCAGGAGTGAAAAATTAACAAAATATGGGGAGAACGAGTGAAAAATTCCTTCACGTAGGGTGTTGTTTTACACCTAAAGTCGGCAATCCTAGGACAGTGTTTGATAATCTCAGTCTTAACTTTTGAACGGTCAAGACTAAATAACATAACTTTATCCTACCTGTAAAAAATTGCGATAGAATCGAATGTGTCTGTAGATAGCAGGTGATCACATCTCCAGGAATGTGTCATCTGCATCATTTAACACTGTTGAAAAGTGGCACCATCGAGATGCGTGAGAAAAAAGTAGTTTGGACACAAAGCCTGCATGACGTCACGTATATCATATTTGAGGACATCAGTGGAAAGGAAGCTGCTCATTTGGTCAGCTAACTGCTGTTCTGCCCTTTAGTTTAAATGTTTGGTATGTTTTTGATGGCGTGCGGCTAGCGATTCCCGGCTGGACTCTAAATAAATGGTCCCCAGTTTTGTGATGTGAACACTGTTTCGGAAAGGAGATTTTGGCCTCATCAGAATGCTATATTTTTGAATTGTGGTATGCATAACAAAGAGCTGTATGTCATGTGGCGTTTGTGGCGCATTGTGTATCACGGTTCCTGGACGCATATATTTTTCGTACATGCGTTTCTAGGCAACCAATGTACGCGACGTGAGAAATAGTGCTGCCATATTCCGGTTGGTTCGTCATATTTCATCACATTTCCGGCGCACAAGCGACGTATTGAAAACGCGTTTCTATAACCTGGGTTGGGCTTGGGTTCCTTGGGTACATTTATAAGAGCACATTTAGGTTCCTGTGCAGTTATGTTTTCCTTTGGTTTCTAAGGACTGCGTGGAAAAAGGGAGTCAGAAATTGGCAATGAGTCTGAAGATATTGCATCTTCCAAGATCCTTCAAGAAGGCCCGCTTCCGCGGGATTTGCATCAGGATGACGTGCTATTTTATAGCGATCCACGTGCTTACGGCGGAGTAAGGTGGAAAAGACAGAAGGGGGCGGGGCGTAAGCTCGTGAGCTCAGCTGCGCTTTGTCCGGGGCCCGAGAAGTCGAGGCCCTCAACGAAATGCGATCCTAAGCTTCTGAACCACGTGGCGATCTTATGACCATTGGATGACTCTGTTGACATCCAAACTACTTAAAAAAGGAATGCATAGAACCAATAGAAGGAAGCGAACGCAACATATTTGGGGAAGTTTCGCTCCACTTCCATCGCTTTCATCCAATGTATGCTCGAGAATGTAGGTTTTAGTGGCCTGAGCTTTTCTGTTCCAAAACGTTGTTTCTCGTCGTTCTTGAAAGCTAGTTGTTGAGCTACAGCAAGTATAAATATATTTACGAAATGATATTATGAATCTATTTCTCGTCCCCCCTGATATTTCGTTACAGAATATTCTTGCCAGAGCATCAATAGCTGGGCCATTTCGGTCAGCGCTATTTCTAACACCACTGACAGCGGTTCCTAGGACACGCATGTACGTAAAAATATGCTTCCTGGACGTTTCATACCCTTCGCTTGTCCATAACTGGTTTGCACAAGGGTTTTTCCGTTCCTTTAATGATAGAGGAACCGTATAGCTCAACTTGTAGAATACTTAAAGGGAATACTCCACATTTGCATTGCGTTTTCAACTGAAATAGCTATCTTGAGGACCTTTTGATGCAGTTCACGGCCATGCCATTCTTAAGACCCAAAACGATCTGGTCCCTGAGTTACGCGCCCGCAAAAGGGCGAAAAGGTTTGTTTACAGCCTATTTCAAAGTTGTCTTGGCATTACTGACCTTTTAGAAACGCCATGCGATCGCGGTCATACTACAGGCTATTTTCTGCTTATGGTCAAAACAGCTTGGCCGCTGGTACATTCGTAAAAGCGATGATGCAGCACGTATGATACAGTGCGCGAAAGATGATTGGCTGTTAGCAATATTTCGCTGCTGAATGCGTGTCGCGAATGTCAGCGTGAGCGCTTTCGGGTTGTGCGGTACTCGTCGTGAACTGGTAATTTTTGTCTTATTTCTAGGCCACAGGTCAATGTTATGAAAAAGAACGCACTTTCCGCAAAAAAGTACGCTACCCAAAAAACAGGCACTCTAACGAAAGTTATAAGAAAGAAGACGCGACGGAAAATCTGTCTTTTTCCCCTGCTATCCGTTTCTCTTCTTCTACTGACGTATCTCTTACAGACAGCTCGGTTCGCGCCTTGTGTACCAGAGCACAGGACCTTGCACGGGTTTATGGGCTAGCGAGGCATTATGAAATTAGGGAAACATTATGGTAATTTTAGATATAAATTTTACTAAATGTTTCGCACACATTGTACCACAGATTTAAATCTTGAACAAAAATTGTGTTCTACAAGTACAACCTCTTGAGCCGCATTACCATGAACCCCCGTTGGGACTTTGTTTTGAAGGGAGTTCACGGTGAAATGCGGTGTTATGACTAAAAATCTGTGCGGAAATTGCGAGAAAACCTGCAATTTGATATTTCCCCGAGCTGTGCAAGTGTGAGATCACACTCATTTGACAAAAGAGTGTGAATCAGGGCTCAAAATGTGTGTGATCACTGGTGATGTGTGCAAGTGGTTTGTATTGATTTCGATGTGATGGGGAGTGTGCGTGCAAATTGTGTACTTCTGACAAAGAACACTGTTTTGGTATTCTTTAAGTCTACTGACTCCCAATAACATGTGAAATATTGATACCTGCCTCCACCTTTATGTCTGTGTTTGAACGTGACTAAGGACTGCTGGCAAATTAAGACAAGCACTAGCACTTACGTTGCAGGGGTGTACAAAGGCAAGCTGGTACTTCATTGTGATCTTGCCAACATTTTGAACCCATTGAGGTATTGCAGCATGTAATTTATCCATTGCGTGTCTTTACATCAGCAATTCATTTTGGCAGCAGGGGCTCATTGCAGTGCAGCTCATTAATGCACATGCTCAGCATAGGCTCACGTTATATGGCTTTGCAAAATTGTCTTTCCCTAAAGAATTCCGAAAACATTGAGGTGTATTATTACTGATGCACATTGTACTGTCTTCACAAATTTTGTATGCAGGCGAGCATTGCTCGTGAGTCATCAATGTCATAGTCACTGCAACTTGCATGGGATGCTGGGTGCTGAGAAAAGCGGAAAAGTATTGCTGTTGGTGTCTTGGATAGCACTTAATAATATCTTTACCATGAGCCTTGTGTGCATTGGCAAGCTTCGTCACTTCCTTGCATTTTGCCCATCCAGCCATACTACATGCACTACATACTACACACTACACATACCATAGCCATACTACATGCACTTGTCATGTTTACAGCCCTGTGCAAGGTCAGGATGTTTGCAGTCTCATTTCATCACATGTAAAATTTTCCTGTTGTTTTTAAGTAAAGCACCCTGATGGCTGCAGCAAGTTGCATGGCTGTGGAAGTGGATGATGTCTTTGCATCTTTCTCATCTACGTTTTGTGGATTCCTAAAACAGACTGAGCATGTGATGCCACTTATTAGTTGTCTGCTTTGCTGAAAGGGATTTGTATATTGCATCATGCGCTTTTGGTCAGTCATATGTCAGATGGGGAATCAATACGAGAGAGGTCACTTGACCCACCTTTCCACGATGGAATTTATTATGAAAGCAACATGAATTGCAGCACAAAAACCATATCATTTTTCATTATGTCATGTCACAGTACAGCACTGAGGTAGTGCCACAGCTATTACACGATTATTTACACGGCCCGTGCCATTACACGATATACCACATTGGTTGACTGCTCTATGTCAAGCCTATGAGACAGCAGCTTATAATTTATGAATGACTGGTAACAACCGAGTTAACAATGCCAAAGTACTATCGACAAGAATGTCATCGCATCACTATGGTCATATCTGGGTTAACCATTGATTGCATAAATAATCCTATGCAAACTGGCATTCTTGGTAGCCCAGTCTTGCCATCTTTACCACAGCAATAGCAATGCTTTGACAATCATTTCATAACAACATACCGAATTTATTAATTTTCACTGACACCGCATTTCAAGTTACAAACAATAAAGAAAGTAGCTACTGTGCACATCACATGATATCAATGTCAGGACTACAGCACTGCAGGCAACGATGGGTCGACAATAAAGTATTGACAAAATCATCAACAGGTGCTTCATCAACAGCATAGCAGCAACAGCAGCAGCACGGCATATCGTGCTTTGATATTAATAATCTGCCATAAAAGCTGGCGATTGCTATGTTGCGTATGTCAAACAGTCCAACAAAGCTTTTCTTACGGCAAGCACCAAGACAAAAACCCACAAACAAACCACCCACTGACCCGCCCCCCGACACAGCCCCGCGACGAGAA